AGGTCTATTTTGACCTATTTTGGTGTATTTTGACCTCTTTTGACCTCTTTTTGGCCTATTTTGTACAACTTTTCAAAATATTTTGGCCTATTTTTGACCTATTTTTGACCTATTAAGGGGCGTGGCTTAATTGTGACCTTGGCCGGTTGTGTATCATCACCATTACTACTTACATGGTCAAAAAAATAATTAAAATAAATATTAACTTGCCCTGATAAATATGTGCGACAAATAGTATGCCGACACTGAATACATATGACTATTGTGTTCGCGTAAAAATATGGCCATTTCATTGCAGAATATCTGTAAAAATATTATATAATTAAAATGTGCTTGCTCAAATATTTCCAACTTCTTAAAATATTTACCGAAATAAATTGAAATAAGTTAACCATAAAATTGTTGAATATGATCAGAAATAGTACGCCATTAATATTGTCGACATCAGTGGATATCGGGTACTGTTTGTGATATATTAAGCCAATAAATATTGACATAGCCTATTTATGAATTAAAAATAAAGATAAAACTTATTATTTATTTACCAAGATTTTTACACGTCATTCCGCATACAATGAAGCTGGGTCACCTACCCGAGTTATTTCAAATTAAAACCTTAATTAAATTGTAGATTATAACATTCATATTTTGTAATTTTTACAAATTTATATTTTGTGATATAATCTATTATATAACTAAGCTTTTAATTTTAAATATCTCGGACAGGTGACCCAAGTGTTTTGTTTAAAATTCGCTTATGATTGCATGCAAATAAGTACTTAATACCAATAAGTTTTAAGAATTTAATTATTGATATCTAATTTTAAATAATTTAATTTAAGACTATAATATCATTCAATTAGTTACTACTATAAGCATATATTAATTTAATGATAGTTATAATAAATAAGTTTTGATTAAACGATATATAAGTATATTTGCTGTAGTTTTTGTCTATCTAAATTGCTTTTAATTTGCTCATGATTGCATGCAAATATATGCCGGGTAATACGGTATTCTACAAACCATTATTGATGTCAACTGAGCCTTAATATTATCGGTGTTACGGATTGTAATTAGAAATAAACGCATCATAAGAGTGCTAAATTGAAGCCATGAACTTGTTAGTTTAATTTTATAATTTGTAAAACTTGAAATATTGCCACTATTAACCATGTCCATTTTTGTCTTATTAATGTCTGACAATATGGAGACGTTATATTCCGAGTCTAGGAATTTATCGCACAATTTCTGAAAAATTAATTAATTAGAGCTAAAAATGTTTTAAATATTGTTAAACTCAAAAAGTGCGTATTTTTAAATTAATAATGGTAAAAAATTAAAAATAATATTTAAAAAAATTAAAAATAACTTTACATTTATATAAATGTATAAATTTTATATAAAAAAATTTATAATAAGAAATTAAATTACTAAATTGTAAAAATAAATTTACATTGGCATTTTTCTTAGTTTGTGGATCAGATGTGATTGCTAAAGTAATATATACAAAATATTATAAATATTTAATTAATTTTGAAAGGTGCTTTTATAATACTAACCCAATTGATTCATAAAATAATCGCTAGGATTGTAGTGAGCTGGACAAATCTAGAGCATAATTAATAACTTAATAAAAAGCACCAAGCATAATCAAATCATACTTACATAACCGTTTGATGCAAAAAAGTTCTTTACTTCACCTGTAATTGTATATAATTTTAGATTTTAATTGCAATATGATTAATTTATAAATTAACAAATTAAAATCAAACCATTGGTTCCCATGAAAGCAACCCTTCCGTCGGTCATCAGTAATAAGTGGTCGAAAAGTGCAAACACTTGAGACGACGGCTGATGTATAGTACAGACTATAGTCCGGCCCTCACAGGCCATAGCCTTCAATAGCCGGACAATACTTTCGGCCATAAATGAGTCCAAACCACTCGTCGGCTCATCGCTAGTAATTAAATTAATATAATAGTTAGCGTTGTAAACATACAGGAATTTCCTGTACTACACAAATATTATCACATTGAAAAATACAAAATTAAATATTTATGAATATACTGTATATTTACCAAAACATTAACGAAGGATTTGTTAAAACCTAAAATAAATATTTATTTAAAAATGCAAAATATTATTCATTTAATAAATATGCAGTTTATATACAATTATAATACAAAATACACCTCCGATGCGATTGACAAGCGTTTCATTTCTCCGCCAGAAATGCCTTTAAATGTTAAATCACCGCCAATTCTGCTCTCCGAACAATTGACCAAGTTTAACTTTAATTTAAAATATTATATTTGTCATTTGTTATAATAAGGTATACAATATTTAAAATAAGTACAGACAATAAATTAACCTAAATGCTATCTACATGAAGGCTATATTTTTAAAAACACCTTGGTAATTCAATAATCACGTCATATAAATAATATCTCCTATTTTGTTCTGCCATGGTTTAATTTAAAATATTAAAATCTAAAATATCAAAATAGTAATAGCAACAATTTACTTTAATTATAATATTTTGAACCAATTCATTTTTCTCAGCATGAGACAAAGTTCCAGCCAATCGCAAAGTGACCTAGATTATAAATTAAATTATTGATTATATTAAACATTAATTAATTATAACGAAAATACATTAATCATGAGATGCTCTCTAACGGTAAGCAATGGATGAAACAAATCGTTTTGTTGGATATACGACGAGATGGAGGCCAGAGTCCGCCCGTTTACCGGCCGGCCGTTTATCAGCACATCTCCGGTGACCGACATTTTGCTCATATTTCTGCCGGTGAGTGCATTGAGCAGGGTCGTTTTGCCAGCACCACTTGACAGGTAGTTTAAAAATAAATATTTATTTAATTTTACAATTAGATTTATTTTGTCTTCAAAATTACAATTCAATGTTAGTCTTAAAATCATGTTATAATTATAAATTAATTTTATATAAAAGCAATATATAAATTATAATATTCAATAATAACTTAAAAGTTAATAAAACGTAAATCTTTTATAAATTCTACTAAATTTTTATCAATAGATATATTAATTTTAAATATAATTTACATAATTAGTAGTAGCATAATTAGTAGTAGCATAATTAGTTAGTATAATAAATTAGTTAAATAATACCTAGGTCCCATAATAGCCAATAACTGACCGGGCGCGATATTTCCTGATACTAATTTATAAATTAATTGCATTATTAAGTAATATATAAATAATTATAAAGAACATTTTAAAATTAACTCAAGTAAATAAACTAACTCACCATTCCGTACAATCTCCTTAGGTGCTTGTGCATTTTGATAGCATTTATAAATAGATTTATTAGGCTTTGTAAAAACATGTAAATTTAACCATGATAAATTGACGTTGGTTAAACGATCTCTATTGTCTCTATGAGACTCATTGATCTCCAATACAACTCTCATATTAATCAATATAATAATAATTTGAATTTAAAGACTATTGAAGCATTTTATGTTAATTATCACGTTTAAATATTTAGTTAATCTAAGCACATTAATTATATACAAATATTAATTGCATAAAGTAATAATATTCTTGGATAACAATTATAAATATAACTTTACGTATTTTAATATAAAAACAATTTACTATTACCATGCAGATTCATAAGTAAAAATCCGGTTTTATAAAATATAATATTTAATTATTAAAAAGTTATTAGAAATATTCATTTTGGTAAACAATATTAAATTATTATTATTATTAATAATAATAATTACAAAATCAGTGTAACAAATGATGATCATGCGGTTTTGCAAATTAAAACAAGCATCACAGAAAGTAGAATTAACAATTTAAAATCTTGTTTAACAAAATAATAATTATAAAAAAGTGAATTATATTTAAAACTAAAAAAAAAATAATTTTTTAACAAGAAACTATAAAAACCAAAATAACTTTCCTTAATTAAACATAAAATGGTAAACATAAAAAACAAACAATAATAACTTTTAAACATTTACCCTCATATTAATTTGTCTGTTAAGTAACGTGATAGGTGATTTTGAAATCATAAAAAATAATCTTTGTTTTTATTTAAAATTTTGTAAAAATATAAAATACAGACATTGATATATCAAATAATTTAATTATGCACAAAAAAATTTCAAAATTTTATGCAACACAAGAGTTCCATCAGTTTAAATGTAAAGGGCATTAAATTAAGTAAAGGGGATTAAGCTTTAAATGAGCATTAGCCATATTATACTGTATTAGCATAATGATAACTATTAATAAACTTATTTACAAATTTAATTTATAAATAATAATCACTCCAAACGCCATCACAAGTGTTATGATAGGGATCGGTGTAAATGCGGCTCATATTTGCCGGATCTAGACTTCGCACGAGTGGCGCCGCACCGGACGACACACCGGCGCCCGACAACTGCGGCCACTCATCACCAAAACGTCTATTCAAATACATTACAAACACTTAATCAACACATAAAACAACACAACAATACTATATATACCCGTCTTTTGCAAACTTAGTCCACAATCGCATCACTTCTCGACTGAAGACCAGGTCTTGCGGTGAGAAGTCTTTGGTGTTAATGAATGGTAAGCCAAAGACAAACGGCAGCTCCGCCTCGTGACAGACGCCCATCGTTTTGGTATTGCAACCGGTAATATTGGCAAACAGTCTACTCTCGTAATCAAACTCATAAAAATAGACACGATGTGTGTCCACAACACCGGCGGCCAACTGTCGGGCAAACAGATATGTCGGACACCCGAGCGTCAGATCACCCAATAATGCACTCAACGCCCACCGGAGGGCCAATGGATCACTACTGTTGACCCCTTTAAGGTAATATTGGTTTATTATAAACTCATTTATGCCGTGATATATGACATCGAGTTTGAAAACCCCTATTTTAAAGCCCATGAGTGTTATATTTGACGGGTTTTGTATAATACTCGGCAAGAATAGGGATCCCTCGTTACGTACGATTCCGGCCATTAAATCAATGTCTAAAACAACAATAATTTAATATAAATAGTTAATAATTGTGATAATTATTACTATTGATTAGTTTAAATATTATACAGAATCACAGACTATGTAACTTTATATAACCTACAATATATCGTAAATAGAGATGAGACTGTAATATATGCAAACCTGAATTGTATTTTTTCTCTCGAAAGGCCTGTCCGGCACTAATAGGCAAAAACTCTGTGCCCAACACCAGGTATGGCATAGAATTGCCATATTTTACGATATCTCTGGCGTCCGCTCTTCGCAAACATTGTATCCAATCCTCGGTTTCATTGCATTTCAATTGTTTTGCTAATACTTTTCCTTGAGCTAAGGCCAAGGCTTTGTTGACCACATCCCTGTCCTTGTTATACATATGGGCGCCGCTCTCCATAATAGCCCTCTTGAATAGGCCTTTGGATAGCGGGGAGAGTATGTGTGCGGAC